TGTAGACCTAAAGACAAATACAATGAGTAAAGTGAAAGTGCTTAATTAGTTATGTAAGTGGATGCCGTGATAATCAGTTTGCTAGTCAAACGCGATGAGTAGTGTTTAATGAACATGTTTGGCGACGCAGGTGAGATGAGTGACAAAGGGATGGAACAATTACTCGATCGGCTAGTATTAATGCTTGCGGATCCCCAGTCGTCTCAGGCCGCTCCCACCAGTCTGCCGTCAATTGACGGCCTCACCAACAGTATTTCAGAGTTTTCCTATGATCCGGAGAACGGCGTAACGTTTGAGTCTTGGTATCGGCGTTTCGAAGACCTGTTCCGAGTCGATCTCGCGTCCCAGGATGACACATGGAAGGTCAGACTCCTCACCCGCAAACTGGGCCCAGCCGAACTCAAGAGATACATAGACACTATCCTTCCCAAATCCTCGCTCGACTTTACTTTTGGAGAAACCGTTCAAAATCTCAAGCGTATGTTTGGAGAACTCACCTCCTTATTCAGTACCCGGTACCAATGCCTCAAACTCGAAATAGGGGAGTTTGACGACTTCCTTGATCATCTAGCGGTGGTCAATCGAGAGTGCGAGAATAGTCAATTCAAATCAATGACTGATGACTAGCTTAAAGGTCTCATTCTCATATGCATTCTCAAATCGTCGAAGGAGATCAAGGGACACTCCTCCTTCCGCGTGTTGGCACTGTGCAGCCTGGCATTATGTCAAGTTCTGCTCTTACAAGCAGCATTAATGCCAGCGATGCAAAGCTAAGGGCAACAAGGACGGATACTGTCAATCATCCCCGTCTAACAGGAGTGGACGGCACCCTCACCTTCACACAAAGGAAAGGTCAAAAGCCAAACCAGCCAGCTCCACCATCTCATCTCTCAACCTACGGATCACCTCTGAAGACACTTCACAGCAGCAGAGGATGTATACAACCGTCCTCATCATTGGTCATCCAGTTCGTCTGCAGCTAGACACAGCCTCGGACGTTACCATCATCTCGGAAACTCAATGGCGCTCCATCGGAAGTCCGCCACTCAGGGACACCTCTGAAACGGCTATCATTGCTTGCGGCGGTGAAATTCACTTCCGCGGCCAAATACAATGCTGTGTTTCCTTCTGCGGAACAACCTTCACTGGCAAGTGTTATGTCCTCAACGCAAACCCGAACCTCCTTGGTCTGGATTGATTCGAACAATTGGGTTTGGCCGATATCCCGATCAGCTCCATCTGCAATGCCTACACTTGTCGACAGAATCTTGCAAAAATACCGCGGACATCATCAACCAGTTTACCACGGTTTTTAAACCTGATTAGGATACTGTTCTATGACATAGGCCACCCTTCGCCTTCTGCCGGAAGCTAAACCGGTTTTCCGTCCGAAAGGACCGATCCCATACGCATCGTTACCGCTGGTTGACGCTGAGTTAGAACGTCTTGAACACGAAGGCGTCCTCTCCCCGGTCTCATATTCAGCCTGGGCCGCTCCAATCGTTGTGGTAAAGAAGGCCAATGGTTCAATCCGGATATGCGCAGACTTCTCCACTGGTCTAAATGCAGCTCTGGAATCACACCACTACCCTCTACCAGCCCCAGAGGACCTATTCACAATTCTGAGTGATGGAAAATACTTCGCAAAACTCGATCTGGCCGATGCCTACCTGCAACTGGAAGTCGCTCCAGGGTTCCGCCCACTGCTGACCATCAATACCCATCGAGGTTTAATCCAGTACAACCGCCTACCCTTTGGAGGCAAGTCCGCTCCTGCTATTTTTCAACTGTTTATGGACACCATTCTGGCCGGCATTCCTGGAGTGGCAGCATACCTCGAGGACCTATTAATCGTAGCTAGTTCGCAAAATGAGCTACGCAAGCGGATCGAAGAAGTCCTCCAACGGATTCACGACAACGGACTCAGACTTCGCCAGGAAAAATGTGAGATTTTCTTGACTTCAGTAAAGTATCTGGGTTTTATCTTTGACGCCTCTGGCCGGCATCCGGACCCTGAGAATATCCGTGCTATTCAACAAATGCCGACTCCCAAAGATGTTTCCTCATTGCGCTCCTTCTTGGGACTAATCAGCTATTACTCGGCTTTTCCACCGTCGATGCACAATGTCCGACCACCACTGAATCACTTGCTTGGGAAGGACGTACCTTGGGTTTGGTCCAACGAGTGCGAGACAGTCTTCTGTCAACTCAAATCAATGCTCGGTTCGGACCTGCTGCTGACCCATTATGATCCAGGTCTACCAAGTGTTGTTGCAGCTGACGCCTCCGCCAAGGGCATCGGAGCCGTCATCCTCCACGTCTTCCCCGACGGCACAGAAAATGCCATAATGCACGCATCCAGGTTGCTGACAACGACAGAACGGCGTTACGGACAAATTGGGGAAGAAGCTCTCGCTTTGGTTTTCGCTGTCTGCAGGTTACACAAACTCATTTATGGCCGACGATTCACTCTGCTGACAGACCACAAGGCGCTGCTATTAATTTTTTGATCAAAAACAGGCATCCCAGCTCACTCCGCGAACCGCCTGCAAAGATGGGCACTTATTTTACTAAGCTATAACTTCGAAATCAAGTACCGTCGCACAGAGGATTTTGGACGGGCAGACGCCCTATCACGGCTCATCAGTAACCAGCCCACCACCAAGGAAGATGCCGTCATCGCCGCCATCTACGTTGACGAAGGTATCACTCAGCAGATATCTCAAACATTTCGTGCGCTGCCGATTTCATTTCTCGACATCAAACGGGAAACAGCCTCGGACAACACACTACGGCAAGCCATTCGTTACGTCCAAGGCAAATGGCCAAAACGCTCCCCCACCGGTGATCTTCAGCAGCTGTTCCAGCGACGCGATTCCCTCTGCGTTATAGACGGCTGCCTGATGTTCGGAGAAGGCTTTGTGGTGCCCAAATCACTGCGCTTGCTAGTTCTTCGTCAATTTCATACTGGTCATCCCGGCATAGGTCGCATGAAGTCTATCGCCCGCAGCTACGCTTACTGGCCAAATATGGATCAGCAAATCGCAGAATCAGTCAAGAGTTGCCGCCAATGCCAGCAGGCCGCCAAGAATCCTCCCAAGGTTCCTTCAGTCCCTTGGCCACAGCAACAAAAACACTGGTCACGCATCCATATCGACTTTTCTGGACCGATCAACGGAGTCTCGTATCTTGTGCTGGTGGACGCCTACTCAAAATGGTCGGAGATCGTCCCAATGACTTCCCCCACAACAACGAGAACATTGCAGGTTCTCTCTCAGATTTTCAGGCGCCATGGGATTCCAGAAACCATTGTCTCAGACAACGGATCACAGTTCACATCGCAACAATTCAAGGAACTCTATCGACAGCATACTATTACACACATGCGTTCTCCACCCTACCACCCATAATCAAACGAACGGGCGGAAGGGTTCGTCGACACATTGACGCGAGCCCTGATAAAATCCCATGGGGAAGGAAGGACATCCGTCGAAAGTCTACAGAATTTTCTGCTGGTGTTTCGTACAACACCAAATGAGGCTCTACCAAATCGACAGTCGCCATCTGAGGCACTCATGGGTCGCAAATTGCGGACAACAAATTTCGCAATGATTCCGGTACAGGACAACCACTCGAAGCCTCCGAGTACGAAATCTACCACACCATTTGAAATCGGAACAGCCGTGTACGTTCGTGACTATCGACCAAGGCAGGACCCATGGATCGAAAGTAATATTGCACGCCGACACGACAGGGTCATGTTCGACGTGACGGTGGGTCGCGACACGCGGTCAGGGCATCTCAAACAACTCCGATTGAGAAAGGATTCTACGACAGCACATCGCCAGACCCGCATCCCACAGGATGTGCTTTTCGAAACTTTTCAGCTGCCGCCACCGATCGCAACGCTAGTGAAGACCAACAGAGATCAATTAGCAGCAGATAGGTCTTCACCCCCAAGGCAGGGTGGCCGAAAACGACAGAAACCAACACTATTCCAAGTCGACCCAAAGAAGAAGCGTTATTAGCTTTTCAAGGAAGAGAGGTGTTGGGGATCCACGATTCCCCAAGATTGGTTTCTTATGCTATTTACATTAATTTACTAACGTGAATAAAGCTCTCTACACGAGCTCTGGTCTTGTTCTTGGATTAGCCTGGGAAGGTCGGTTCTAGCTTTCAGCAAGGGATCTGGTACGGCAACTTGAGTGGACTTCTCTTTGTTAAGAGCAAACGTAACAATTTTAATCTGTGGAATAGCGTGCGTTTACAAAGGAACCTCCGACTAATGTAAGTTAATGGAATATTCAAATGACGAATTAAATATGGCGACGTCCTGGTGAGGCGATGTGTAGAATACCCAAGCCCAAACAGGAAAAAGACCGATACAACAGAACAGGCTTTATTGACCAATCACAAGCCAGAATTACACGACAGGCGCCTTCCATCCGTGCCTGCGACGAAAGCCATGCCGCTCATTATATACTGCACCTCATTCGTGTCCCTCCCTGGTTGGCTGCTTATCTTCCCCGCATGCCATTAGAACGCAGATAGACACAGGATTGGCTGAGGCCAGGTGGTCCAATATATATGCGCCCTCAGACGTTGCTACACTGCCTCCCCCTCAGGAGCGAAGCTGTCCTCAACTTCTGGCTTGGTTCTGGCTTGATCCCGCCATTTATTGCGTCATTAGAGTTGTTGATTACTCTTAAGTCTAAAGAAAAGATTTTGACACCGCTCGTCCTTTAACGACTTTCTAAAAGTGTACATCTCTCGTGGATTTCAGTGGTCGCATTATTACATTGTGTCTTACGTGTGTGATCAATCCGTTCGTGGATCCGCTCTGATTGACATTGCCACATCTTCTTAAATGCGCACATTTTCTCTTTTAGGCTGTTGTTTACGTGTGCACTTCTTAGCGTTGCATATCTTTATTCATGTGGATCTGCTTCATTTATGCTCCACCTTCTGATCAAACAACTTGATAAAAATATCTCGAATCCGCGAGATGAACCACAGAATGTAACTTGGGACTACCTTGTCTTCACCCAGTCGTGGCCTCCCGGTTCCTGCCAACTCATGAAGGTGGGGTTTATTTTCCTACAAGGTACTGCTGGCTGTAAAGCGTAACACGCACAGTTGTGGCTGTAGGTTGAATAGAGGTCGAAAATGTTATTTGTGGCTATTCGTATCGTAGAGAGGTACTAAAACGGATACATTAAAAGCGTAGATTTTAATTAAGCCTGTTAGCCTCAATTCCATCTCTCTAATTTAACGCATCGTTTTGTTTATTCCTTAAAGGTGCGAATATTTAAAAGGATAATTCGTGTCTATGTACTGTCTATACCCCTCCCCCCCCACCATAATCCATTTTGCGAGCGCAAAAATTGGCTATAAAAGTACCGAGTGCTAAGGTAGATGAACAAGTACAGTTTGCAACTGTGTTTGTGAATACGGAGACGTACCAAGGCGTTTATAAGCTGCGTAGACTTTCAATAGAAAACTACCTTTTACTGGATACCTTATCCCTTGACATTAGTAACAGGTATCTGCTGAATTAAACACACTTAACTCCGATCATTATCATCATCTTCTGGTCCGTATACCATAAAATGGATGTGCTTGTTTATCTGGAATGAGTACATTTTGCAGTTTTGCATGTCATTAACATTGTATTTACCTGGGGTTCTGTATTTATGGTTTTTCTGTGTGTGCTGTGTGCCATCGAAGCAGTTGTCTGCTCCGACCACCTACTCACTTTCCATGTCAGCTAAGCTTTTCACTAGTTGTTTCATAATAATAATAATAATAGTGTGTCCAACCCATCGACCTCCCTACGTGCTGTCCGTTCCCTATAGTAGCTTCGTTTCAGTGTATTCCAATTTTCTTGTATTAGGCTTGAAGTTAGACCTCAAATACCGCAAGTAGCTCTCGGACTAATTGCACTGACTTCGTTCTCTTAAGGTGTAAGGTTGCTGTACAAGACTTATAATCGAAAAGTAGCGTGTTCGTAAAATGCACAATCAAGCAGTAGATTCAGCGGATAGTCCAGCAATTGTGTATGCCATGGTCTGGTGATAAACCACCACTTTTGTATGATCATTAGACTGGGGTAGGTATAAATTCAAGCAGGGTGTTGGGTACTTTCCCGAGAAACTTGTGGCAAAGGTTTAACCACCCCATGCATTGAATATGACCTTCGTTTTTCTGCTTTAGTGCACCTATCCGCGCGTTGTTAGTGGCTTCAATATTCACGGATTATGGTCTGTTTAATTAATGTGTTTGACCTTTCCTCACCCCGGTGTCTACTCATGCCTAGCTTGTGTGTGTGTGTGTGATTTTCTTTAGGCCCCAACGTTTGCCAGACAAAGCGATCAATAATTGCAAGGGTTATCCACACTTCAATAGAGACGCAATAAAGGCAAGTGTGTATTTTTGTTTTATTGTGAACCTGTCGATCTTGCGAGTATGTATGGGGCGTCCTCAAATGCAGATGATTGCTGACTTGATGTGGAATAATAATCTACGTCAAGAATACAACATTTTGACGCGGTTTCTTGTCTTTGCTTCATAGTAGTTTTGGTGCTGAGACACGCTTATTCGAGGAAAATTGAAGTCTTTTAGTTCCGCATTGACCCGTCCCCACGCATTACGACAGTTTTAGTCATGAGTGGATCTTTTGTCTAGGTAACTGTACATTAAAAATAGGCTTTGGGTAGTTGTTGTGTGCTACACTAGAATTACGTTTTAACTTGCACAGCACACTTCGTTGACCTCATTTATGGTGCACGTTGGTTGGCCAGTATCACTCTATGTTGTTCCTCTTTGTCGGCTAATCATAATTGTAGAACTGGCATCGTCAACTTAACAGACCATGTTTTGCTAACTGGAGCACTTTATCGCAGCATATTTGTATTTTTGGTGCTTGTCTTCTAGGATATCTTCAGCCAACTCCAAGTAGAGTGGGTTGATGAGAAGAATTTTGAACATCCATGGATATTTTGGTTAGTCTGTTTCACGAATTTACGAAATTTTTTGGTTTTCGGTGTCGTTGAAACCCTCGCAAGTAATTTCTTGTGAACCATTGCCTTTCTGGAGATTTGTCGTTCTCGTTCTCTTTGGCGGATTTTAAACTAGTCAGATTGAGTGTTTTGCGCCCGTCTCATGCTCACATAGTTCCTATCCTCATCGCTGCTTCGCAATATTTGGGCTGCTCAGTCTGTGGACACTAATTCAGACCACTGGGGCATCCATTAACGGTGACTGGAGTCCATGAAGT